AGTGAACCACAACCGAGGTATGTGCCCTTGACCGGGAATCAAACCCGAGATCCTTCAGTGCGCAGGCCGACACTGACCACTGGGCACACTGGCCAGGGCAGTTTGTCTCTTTCTTTAAGATTTTCCTAAGACTGAAGAAATGGGAGTGTTCAGGTATAAAAAGTAAAAGTTGAGTGAACGTTACTACTGATTTGTCCACAACCTTATGAATGGCAGTATGGTGAAAAGAGATACCAAATACGTGCTTTCAGAGAAATAGGGATATTTTTCCAGAGTGAGAGAATCCTTGTAGTTACTAGGAACTATTCTACATTTGAGCTAGGATGAGCTGCAGATTTCCCCTTTAGGATGACAAGGGGGCAAAATCCTTTCTGCTTCTCCTCCTGCACGGCTGTTGGGTTACAGTTCAAGTTTTTTCAAGATCAAATGCAAAAATGGAAGTGGCATTTTCTATACAGAATTCAGTGATCTGGTGTTCAACATCAACACTATAGAAGAGATAGAATTAGAAGGTAAAAAGAGGAAGGACATTTCCTAAGTGAATCAGGTGATGGGGTATACAAAAGTAGCAATTGCCCCAATTGACTTAGAGGGATAAGTGAAACTGTATTTCATGCAATCTTATAAAACTTCATTTGCAATCATCATGGATGATCTAAAGTAGAAATAGCAGAATGGCAGGAGGTGCTATAGGAATGTAAAGTGAACTAATAGAAGACTCATGCCCTGGAGTCCCTCATAATCTAATTGGGGAGATGAAATTCATATGCATTAAACAGAGAACATTGAAAATGCATGCTGTGATTGAGTTGTGTAAGAGATGAAAAAAGGCAAAGTTAGGTAAGTGGTGGGAAGCACAAAGAGCAAGAGGTTCTCACAGAGAACTAGATTAGAAGCTTCTTGAAGGATGTGAAAAAAGATGGAGTGGAGAAGGTGATTTGGGGAGATTTTGTAGGTAAAGGGGCAATAATTAAACTGTTTTTCCTTGAGCCCCCCCCCCAAAAAAGTGTCTTATACACTTCTGAGTCTTTAGTGCCTAGCAGAGTGCCTGACATAAAACAATTACTCAAATGATTGTTGAATTTAATTGACTCTTGGACTAAAGTCTGAATACAGTAGTAATAAGAAGTGTTTATCTGAGGGGCTCTTGGGAACCTGGCTTGAAAATCTTTAAGCTAGGAATAATTTCATCAACCTGGACAATTAGGTTATTCCATTTTCTTTCTTTTTTTAAGCCTCACCTGAGGATATGTGGTTTTGGTTTTGGTTTTTGTTTTTCATTGATTCTAGAGAGATAGGAAGGGAGAGGGAGAGGGAGAGAGAGAGAGAGATCAATGTGAGAGAGAAACATCAATTGGTTGCCTCCTGTAGGCGCCCCAATCAGGGATCAAACCCATAGCCCGGGTGTGTGTCCTGACCTGGAATTGAAACGTGACCCTTTGGTGCATGGGATGACACGCTAACCACTGAGGCATACCGGCCTGGGCAGGTTGTTCCATTTTCATTGCTATCTATGTACTTGGCTAAGGAAACCTGTTGACAATAGATGAACTTAGATTTCTCCATGAATGTGGAGTTCCCACGAAATGTAAAGAAAATGTGAAGGAGCAGCAAAATCTATTTATTAATGGTACCAAAGATACTGTTAATAACTATCATTATGAATCACTTATTGTATGCCAGGTACTTGTCCCACTACCTAACAACATACATTATCTTATTTATCTCTCACAATAACCCTGNGTGGGGGGTGGGGGCTAGGGGCTGAGGTGCGTCAGCTCAGGTGCTGCAGAATCTGGCCAGCACAGAACACACTCCCATGAACTCTCCCACATGCACACCATTCCTCTACAGACCACCAGTCTTCCCAACCATGCAAGAGAGACCCAGAGTTTCTGGCTGCTTAGGTCACTTTATACCAGTTACATATTTAAGTATATTTCTAGAATCTAGGTCTGAAGGCCACCAGGCTGCCTGCAGAGCCTAAAGAAAAATATTCAGCCCAGCCAGCATTGCTTAGTGGTTGAGCATCGACCCATGAACCAGGAGGTCATGGTTCGATTCCTAGTCAGGGCACATGCCTGGGTTTCAGGCTCAATCCCCAGTGAGGGGCCTTGCAAGAAGCAGCCAATCAATGACTCTATCTCATCATTGATGTTTCTGTCTCTCTCACCCTCTCCCTTCCTCTCTCTGAAATCAATAAAAACATACTTTTAAAATAGAAAGAAAAGAAAAATATTCATACTATGTGAGACCAGTGAGTGCTGATGGGGGAACTTGATCTATTTGCTGCAGAGCAATACTAGATGCAGGCCTAGCTACTAGACCACTCTCTCCCAACTAAAAAGATGTTTAAAAAACAGTATTTATTGAGCTCTAACTAAATGCTACTTCCTGTGCTATAAACTTCTTATGTATATTACCTTATTTAATCCTGAACACAATCCCATGGAAGTAGATATTATAACTATATTTTAAATATGGGGAAGTTGAGTCACAGAGCTGGTCATTTGCCCAAGGTCACATAACTGATTACTG